CCCTGTCTCTGTGGCTGAAGCACAATTTGCAACTTCTTTAAAATTCCCAGCTCATCTTTCTCACTGTTCTGATGCCCTGATCAGGTTTGAATCTGATCTGCAGGAACTGGAATTGTTTCACTGCCTCATATCAGTAAATGTCACTGAGAACATTGGAGTCAGTGTCCCAGCGTCAACAGAGGAGGGGAAGCTGAAGTAGTACCACACACTGCCATTTGGCACCTTTTAAATTCCCAAACCACTCAATCATTGAAGCTCCTTGGAATGGAAAGAAAACAGAATTTTTAAAAAATCCACTCGTCTCAACTTTGTGAATCTTTAGAACTGGGAATCAGAGGCACGTGAAGGTGAACTGTCCGACTGAGTAGAGACAGTTAAACTGCCTTCCCTTCTTTAAGTGGCCAGGACATTCATTGATCCGAGACATTAAAAGGATTCCCTCCAGGCACTGCTCAGCCTTTGCTGCTGTTATTGTGAGGACAATAAATCCTCACTCCCTGAGCAGGCCTCGAGCCCAGGCAACAGTGGTGAAACTACAGTACCTTTACCACTAGACCACCTGGGAACAAGCAGACTTGCATCATTTCTTAATAACACAGCTTCTGGCTTTTATTTCACTGGTAATAAGTTGCTCCTGCAAAATGATCGCATCATTGAGTTTTTACAGTATGGAAAGAGACCGAACATCCCAGTTTCCAGCACTTGGCCTTTTAGCCTTGTGTGCTCTCATGTTTCAAGTGTTCATTTCAATGTTATTTTCCCTGTAACATTTTAATCACTACCAATGAGACTGAAGTTTGAGGTGGGAAAACTGTGTTCATGCCCCCTCGGGGAAGTGAACCTCATTTTCACTCATAGCAGGAAACAAACAAGGACACCTTCCACCGAGAGTGCCAGAGGCTTTAGGAGAGCGCAGCCCCCAGAAAGCAGAATTTCACTCACTTGGCTCTATTGTCCCATTGCAGACTTCAAAACTAGAACCTGTTTACAGCAACAAAAGGAAGCATTCGGCGGCTGCCCCGGGTTTGTGTCCCTCCGACGTTGTTCACCTGTCACTCTGCAGTTTTCCGGCTTCACCTCGCTCTTCCGGTCAAACTTCGCTCACGTCAGCTGCTTCCTGCCATTCCGAATGCTCTTCCTCAAGTACGTGGTCGGACAAACAGGAATGTGGAATTTCAAACACATTTCTCGCCTGTGGAGGAAATGATGTTGTCATAATTTCAGCGAAGATTGAAAGGGCACCTGTCGATCTTGGAAGCAGCGGGTGTGCAAAATTTGCCACAGGCCCCAGTGAGGCTCGAACTAACGACTCTTCATTTACAAGACCAGCGCTCTAACCACTGAGCTATGGAGCCATTCAAACAAATTTGGG